GACGTACATATTTGGATTTTTAACGATAATTCAATTTTCTTTTATACCAACATGGTATTCAAGAAATATTTGCAACCAGTGGCGTAGGACATGATTTCTGAAGGGTGGGGATCAAAAAAATAATACGACATAGCTAAATGGGAAGGGAACATTGGAAGATCCCCTGCTCTCAAAACTTTTTACTTAGGTAGTTAGGTAGGTAGTAAAATATTTAATAATAAAGAACAATGAATATACTTTGAATTGATTCAAAATTCATATCAAACCCAATAATATGGAAGATTGTCCACTCCAAAGCCAATGGGAGAGAATCTGACCCAGACGTCACCCCTAGTAATCGCTACCTACTGTTTGCGAACATATGCTGTAGTTAGAGCTAATTGATTTCTACAAATTGGAAGAAAAATATATTTTTCATGTTAAGTACCTATGGGTTTCCACTATTCATAAAAATTTCAGCTAAACGATATACATAAATTATATTCCAACCACAATAATTTAGAGCTTAAAACGTCATTTATTTTTTTAATAAATAATTACACATAACAAACTTAGTTTATGTACAAATAATGTTCAAAGGATAAAATATGAATATATCTGAGGCTAGGAAAGTTTTTTTTATTACATATGACTAAGCAAGGTGGATGATTAAAATAATAATACAAATTACAAAACTTTTCTCCTTATTTATAAAAAATAAGAATATAATATTTAACCGACTTCTCAAATGTGTTATAAAAATAAGTAAATATCTGTCTGTATTGATACACCCATTGTAAATACTTGAACGTTTTGTAAGCTTTGTAAATGTTACTATTTAGTAACACTATTAAGTTTAATTTTATCTTTCATTGAAACAATTAACCAATTTAAACTAATTAGAAAATATTCCTATCGTTGCTCAGTCTTATAATGGAGACATCGTGGTGTCTGGTCTTGTAGAAGTGTGCAAACATTACTTAAGGAGTATAGGTACCAGTGTACCACCCAAGTGTTGTATGCTATATACATTCACTGTATGGCCGTATGGGTCACATACATGCCACTGAATAATCCTGGCGGTAGTTTGCATGTGCAACAATAATTATTAGAAGGTATGGATTATGTATAATATACTTATATAACAATATAAATATCATTAAATAGCCTAAGAGGATGTCAGAGCATTATTTTTTTTCTATGTGACCCACATGCTGTAAACCAAACTTATAATCAGCAGATTAAAATGTGTATAAATTAAATAAATATTTATAGTTTTAGTACATTAAAAAATAAATTTAATGCTTTAGAAAAAAAGTATGTAAGTAACACTCGTTGGGTGTATAAGCATAAACATTGCAAAGCAGTAATTTGAAACTTCAAATCGATTTTAAATGTTCTACAAAAAGAGATAAATGAAAATAATGATCGAGATGTTTTATGTATCATCTTATTTAAGCTATTGCAAAATATTAGATTTATGGTATTAAACTGCTGCTAAATATATGTTATTCTTTACCATATAATATATATGGTGATATTATCACTAATTAAACTTAAGTCTAAAAGTTATACCGTTAATTAGTACTAATATTATATTATTATTATTCTATTTTGCTGTGTTAAAGAGAAAGAGAAGACGGATAACACTACTAAATTATTTTGTGGTGTGCAGGTACTGTTGATCAAAACTTTCAATATGATAGTGAAATCACTTTAATTGAATAATGGAAAGTTCATATTGGATTTTTCCGCATAGTTGATAATATAATAATCAATATGTAATCTGAGATCTTCTAAACATAGTTTGAAATTGGCCAAGTGAGTTAAAAATTTTTAGAACTCGGCAAAGTGCCCCCCCCCCCAGCTTATTTCAATCTTTGCTGTTTTATATGGCTCCGACCCCTGTAACTATTTAATCCTAGTTACGTCCATGAGTATGATGTAATGTCATAGTAATATTAATACAATTTGTTCGTCTTCCCATAATTAATCACCTAAATTATGTATTACTATCGATTATCTGTTGTAGGCTGTAGTGGTTTAAATTATAAATTAGAATGTGTAAAATGTAACTAGGTACCTACGACGATGAAATATTTAATATTTGAAAAATGTATACAGAAGCAATAATGTTTTGAAAGTTGTGTAGTACTTGTAATGATAGGTATCAGAAATTCATAAATATTAATCATTAATAAGTACCTAATACCTAAGTCATTAGTAATAACTAATAAGTCACCAAGTGTAAGAACATACCTACCTAATTTAAAGAGAAATCGGCATATAATTAGAAGAAAATTTAGTTTTTAAAAGATGAAAAATCAATAAAAAATAATGTAATTGATATGTTAGGAACAGTCTCTTTGTATTTCATAACTCATAATGAACATTCTACGAAGTTAATCTTAGTTGACTACAGTTATCAACAACTATGATGAGATAAAATCTAATCATAATAATAATGGTTCAAAAAATAATTTAATAATATGTAATCAATAATAATTATATTCGAATTATAAATCCAGTCGCCACATATAATTTTCATCGGTACTCAAGTCAATAAATATTATAAAATAATATTCTACACAATATTACCTATAATGAACATAATATTGTACCTAACTACTATTGAGGTTAGCCGAAATACTTTTTTATAAGTACTGAATTACGTTAAGAGGATGACTCGCATACATAATATTTTATATTGTCTCTGTCTGACAAGTGCGTAACATATCAATGTTTTCATTTAGATTTCGTTAGTTTTAATATTAGGCACAGTGAATTTGGAAGAGGCCGGTGTTTTTTAGAAATTTTAATTTTGAAGCGAATTATGAGCATTTTTATAATGTAATATTTTAATCACTTACAACTCGCTTTAAAGTTTAAATACCAAAAAAAAAACACCTTAAAGTGTATTAAAGAGTTGATCACCTTATAACGAGGGTGGACAGCAATAAGAGAGTCGAAAGCTAAGTAGTAGGTTTAATAACGAAAAATATGTATCTAAGAGCCAACGAAGGAAAACAAAACTTCTCAACTATCGTAAATAAGATAAGAGTGGAATAAGATATGTAGAATACGAAACAATAATATAATAACGTACAATAATTTTGGATTAAATTTGGTATGAGTTAATACATTTTTCTTCATATAACAGGTACAAATAAAAATATTACTATATTTGTAAAAATGTTTTACGTATACCATACGAAAATACGCGAGCCCTGGTTTGGCTTTATAAATTATAATAATATTAAAACGAAGTATGAACGAAGCTAAACGAGAACTACTGAACGTAAGTTTGCTTTATTCCAAACTTGAAATAACTAATAATAAAATATATTTTATTTTTTTTGTACCAAAATAATTGAGTTTTTAATAATATTTAATGAAATTTTAATGTTATGAGTGTTCGGACATCTATAATCCACGTGAAATTGACTGGTGATGAAAAAATTGTACTTTATTCATGTGGTGCGCTCTAGAAGACTGTCTATGTGAATCGCATGTCCGGATGATAATATTGTCGATAGATAGCAACATCGATATTGTTGTACATTGAATTCTGCAGCAGTTGTAGTCTGCTGTCTATTAAATTGTTACAGTATGTTGTAAATTAAATTAAAAGAAGAAAAAATGGGAATTACGGGGATTTCTACACACAATTGATTTGGTTATTTTGTTGTGATTCGAAAACCAAAGGTGGCCAATTTAATGAAATAATTAACTCAAGTTAAGTTAAGTTAAGAGGACACAAGATCGATAAGTTAATATAGAAAAAAAATATTAACTTAACTCAGTTTAAAAAAAGTTAATCTATTTTTTTTTTAATTAGTATGTAAATCACATAAAGAGTGAATGTGTCTTTGTAGTTTCTAATTTATAAAATATAAAAAACAATTTTTTTGAACTTTTATCATAATGTACACTGTATACCATTTTACTTCTACTTTACTATTATTGACCCATGCTACAAAATATAAATGTGTAGTTAATTGTTAATAGTAACTAACATTTACACATACCTAGTTACAAAACAAAATAATATTTCCCATGTTATAGATTAGGTTCTTTAAAATTTTAAACTTATTTTAAAACATCAATTTACTATGTTAGAATAAATAAACTAAATATTTCACAATCAGATTGAGTCGTCATTTAAATTATTCTAAAACGATGATAAAAACCGAAAACCGAACAACTTTTTTTATTATAAATTTACTATACCTATAGAGATAGTAGCCATGTATTACAGAGTAGTATCTAGGCAATTTATAATTTACTTAAGAGGATGTTACGCATGTGTTGTCTCCGTCTTATGTATGTCCAACATACCAAAAACGGTTTTGAGCGGAACAACTTTTCTAGCACCCCATATTTGTTGTAGAACTACCAAATTTCCACAACACAAAAAAAAGAACTTGATCTGTGCAACAGGGTGCTTTATTTTAATAGCACTATCCAATCATTTTTTATAAACAAATGAAAAAAAAAAATAAAAAAAACAAATGTTTAGAAGCAAATAACTTTTATTGTATTTATGTTGTATGGGCACGCTGTTGCATATATAATTGTCCACCCTATATGTTCAGAAAATTTGGAGCCACTACTACAAACACAAAAAGATAAAATTTATCCCACCCAAAACATTTTTTTCTATGTTGCACATTTACAGACAACGCAAGCGGGTGTGGCATCCTCTTAAGGCTTTTATTTTATACATTAACATGTTGGCTCCATCAAAATTTTAAAATAAACTAAGGTATCAATGTGTTATCAATATTAGTTCTATTAAAACAATAAAAGAATAATAAAACATTGTTTCAGTTTTTCACAATATTTTATAATAATATACATTGTTTAATGTTTATGTATAAGTATAATATTCTTAAGTATATTATACCTAAATATATAGTTAACAATAGAATAGTAAAAAAATATATAATAACTCACATAATATTTATAAATACATATAGTAGGTATACAAAAGTAAAATTACATAAAACTAAGCAATAATATCACGCTTTATGTTCACAGATATCTTTCATTTTCATCTCGTGAAATGTCATTGATTCAATTCCATTGAGATCAGGCTGAACTGTAAAAATAAAAACATTTCACAAATTCAAAATACATGAAATAATTAATATTATAATATTTATTTTAATTCTAGCCTTTAATCACGGAAATTTTAAGGGTTTCACCACTTATATATAGGATATAATAATTTTACACCTGTTTTAATTTATTCCTCCTAACTCTGAACATTTCACTCAGATCTATTTCGTCCTTCATTTCATCAAAAATATTATTTTTAAACTCTACACAGATTAGCGTAATATTATTTTTATTATCATAAAAATACTTTAAATTTGAGGGATTTAGTGTTAAATTTTTATATGTATAATTAATTTTATAACATAGAAATAAGTTGTGTTTCCAATTTTAGTTATATTTATTAAATGCATTTATCAACGAATGTGCAATACTGTAATATATTTTGTATAAAACAGTTTTTTCATACTATATAATAAGGCCAAATTAATAAATTAACACTAATAAAATTGTCGAGTGAATATAGTAGTTGATTTTTCATACAATTAAATAATATAATATATTGTACTTATTATGGATTTGTTCATATTTTACCAAGTTTAAAAACTCGATTTCAGTGAAAAGGTCAATTTTACTAAGACATGAAATATATTGTAAAACTAAATGTGTACATACTAAAATTAAATTTCTTAATAGAATCTTGAAGTGGAACCATAGACAAGATTTTAACGTTCAGTGTGGATTCCAGTATAGCTGCTACACATTCCTTGGCGTTCATCAGTTCGAGTTGACATGACTCGGATTTCAGTTCATTTATCAACGATTTTAATCCCTGAAAAAAATAAACAATATATTAAAATAAGACGCTCATACACAACATAAGTCAAAGTATCTAATTTTTTTTTATTTGTCTTTAGCAGATTCCCCAATTCTCCACTTCAATTCATAAGAAAAAAAATCTTCTAATATTTACAAGCTTAGAAAGATGGCTTGACAAAGCCAATACACCATTACCCAAACTACTACCTCCGGCACCTACCCTCCATGGAAAATGTGACATACCATGGACCCTTCAATGATCCAAGAAGTTTTTTTAAGGGTCGTCCGGGGGTTGTCCGGATAGTCATAATAAGTGAGTTACCATGCCAATAAAAAGTTTGATATACACTAATTACAACCGTTGTATTACAATAATTATATTATTTAAATTGTAGGACGAGTAAACTTACTTGGGCGGCTGTGAAGTCGGTCTTGTCGAAATGCACACAGTCCACGATTATGAGATTTGGTTTGTTCGGACGTTCCGAAGAAGACATCTCGGCAATGATCCGCTGTCGCATAAAGTCCACCGCCGGGAATAGTAGCCCACTGCTGGGCCTGACCACCCATTTCACGTGATCAGAGTTCTAAAAAAAATTTGTTCGTTGATCGAATTTAGTATAGGTACAATGTGATAGTAATATGTTGTAGCAAAGTTTCGTCATAAAGATTGAAAAATTCTGATTATTATTGTGTAAAACCCAAAATTGTATACCTGTATAAAAAAGTATTAAAAAATAAAAATAAATTCTATTCAAAATAATATTATTATTTGTTCGTGTTTTTTTACTTTCAAATGGTAATTTTATATTTTACATTTTAGTAATTTTTATTTAAAAATCTTAGAATTATTATTAGTTTATTTGTCTACAAATTAAAAATAAGTGATAATACCTATTAGCCTATATGTTATATTTTAATTTGTATGATAATTGATAGTTGATAAAAAAATTGGTATATCGTTTACTAAAGACTAATTTATTTTATTTGTAATCCTTACAAAAGTTTTTTTTTGTAAAATATACAGGTTGTAGTAAATATGCAACAAACTAAACTCCTAGGTTTTACTGTTCGAGTATTGGACTAGGATTTTCCTTTTACTATTTTTTAGCGAATCGCTATCACACAAAATTGAAATAGAAATAAACAATAATAATAAAAACAAACTCATGCATTGATGGGTTGATAAAATGTAAAATGGTTTGCAGTGCAAACGAAAGAGATTTATGTTTTGTGTGAACTCACCGTTTCTTTTTCGATGGAAATCGACGGTCTAGCGCTGCGATAGAGTACGCACAGCAAGTCGACACAGATGCCGAACAGAAGTCCCATCTCAACGTCGAATATCAAACACGAGACGAAAGTGATGGTGAACGGTATTAGATCACGTCCTGTGTAATAGAACCCAATATGAGTATTGTATTAGGTATGTATCAGATAATATATAATTGTGCTCTTAACGTGTACTTAGGAATTGTTAAGACTGTTCCGATTAAAACTATATTCAATATTGGTAGGTAAGTATATGTGCAGTATATTTTGTTAATATAAACGGAAGTCGGACAGTATAAAGCTACCCCATTTCAAATGCCAGTATACCTACCAGTGAAGTACTTAAAGTATAATATGAGCACCATACGTTTTAGAGTTTCGGTGTAGGTACACTTTTATAACACCACAGAAAATGTTTAAACGATAATAATATAATATTATGAAATTAATATGGTATTAATATTGGAATATCACGCCATCACGGTGACACAGTGGTATTATTGTAATCTAGAGAGATAGTTCTAAAATTCGGAGTACGTAATAATGACCATCTAGCTATCTTATGAGCAACGTAAATCCATAAAGTCTAAGTTGAGACATCTATGGGGGGGGCTAGAGTTTAAATGCTTGTTATCGATTTTGAAGACAGTATAATCATTAATTTGATAAACCAATGGTATTACATAGAGTATATATAGGTATGTATCATGTCCTCGTAATAACTTTACTCATATAAAAGTAAACTTATGGCGTAAATGCTTAAGATAAATACTGTGATCACAATATAATACTTCTATTTTAAGTTGCTATAATTTTTTACATAACATTATATAATATTACCTTTCGATAAATGTACGAATAATAATATATTGAATAAAAAAAACAATAAAAGGTATAACTTTTTATTATAACATTGAGAAAAGTTAATAGATGGATAATAAACAGCATTATTTTTGAGTTTTGATTAATTTAAAATATACTTTATGTTCTTATGTACCTAATACATTTATTATAGACCTTCAAATCATGTTTATATAATCATAATTACCTCGAATGACAAAGTTTGTGAAATTAACAAATAAAAGAATAAATGTCACTTCCTATATAGCCATCAAAATATTAGAATACATCGAAAGTCACAATATGCATAATATAACCATACTTTAATTAGATGTATTATAGGTAGGTAGGTATATAAGTACTAAACTAATAACTTTTTATATAACAACAATAATTTTATTATTAAATTATATTCCAAATTAATCAATATGAAAATGAATTTATTTTTAAAATTATGTTCAGAGCATAGACTTTATACCTTATACCAAATACCTGAGTTATGGTTCAGAGTAAAGTTTTTTGACAGTCATTTTCTCCATCAATATTTCAGTAAAGCAGTAGTTATTACTTTGTTTTACACTGTGTTTAGCCAATTTTGTAACTTTTTGTACTTTTGCATCCCCTCCCCCTCCCCAAAAAAAAGCCACTGCTAACAGTTAGGTACTTACTATTGGTTTTCCATAACAAAATCGCCATGTCGTAACGAAACATTGAAGTCACGGCACATATGAGTACAGCGGACAAACTAGACTTGGGTATGTAATGCAAAAGTGGTGTCAAAAAGATCAGCGACAGCATGACCAATATACCTAAAAATCGGTTTTTAAAACATAACCAGTGTGTAAAACTTGGGATTCAATGTTTGGCCATTTACTTGTAAATATTGAGCTAAACGTTGTACGGACACCTGTTGTATGGTTAAGAGCAGACCTGGACATACTACCCGCAACAGGCATAGATCCCATAAACGAGCAAAAAATATTACAGAATCCCAAAGCTATCATCTCTTGTGATGCATCAATGACTCTTCCACCGCCTATGGAGAAAAAGTTATTAAATTATTGTTAAATTATCAGTAGGTTACGATGTTTCGTCAATTGAATGCGAATTAACCAGATTGTATATTTGAATGCACAGCAGACATATTTAACATTTTTTATCTATAAAATCTATTAGACACAAGTCAGGTCAAAACTTTTGAAATCAATATTTGAACAAATGTATAACACATTTTATTATAAATTAGCGTTACCCGCTATATCGTATCATATAGTTTTAGTTGAAATATGTATATAGCGTATTATTTGAAACATTTTAGGTGAATCTTTAAACAAATATACCTACATTTTATTAAAACTTAGAATTAGGAACTGTATAATAATATTGTTTTAGTTAATATGTATAACGTGTTATTTTAAATCTAAAACTATATTAAACTTGCTTAGGTAATAGGTACACAGCATAAATGTGTGAAATGGGTTGAGTCGAATAGGCAGCGTGAACGACAAGTGGATGTGACGATTGACGACACCAAAAGGCAAAGTATAGCCAGTAAACACAAACAAATTTTATTTATGGCAGAACAACTGACATCCCAGACAATTTAACATACACATTCACTTACCTTACTACAGTATTTAATGTTAGGTACTATAGATATTTTGAAATTTGAAAGTAGGATTAACTTACTGAATGCTTTAGCGACCGACACTGTGCTCAAAATTGAGACCAATGGCACAACTATCGCACCAGGCCATAGCCTGGACAAACCTTCGAGAAAGGTAAACTTCTCGTCTTCGTTTTCGTAGTCCAAAAACAGAAATCTAAATTGCGGTATGCCACTATCTATGGTACCTATAAGTATAAGAAATTGTGCACAGTGATAATTGTATATTTTATTTAATATTTAAACTACATAAATGTTTATATAGAGTACCTAGTACCTGTCAATACTAATGGTGACTGGCCTTGTCTGATTGAAAAATATGCGATGGTAGACGATACGATGACCACGAGGACATTGCTCCCGGTGTTCAATAAAAACAATAACACCGAATAAGATTTTGCTTTCATTCCTTTAGCATTGACTTTTACGCATTTTAAGCTCTACAAAAGAGTTATGATGTATAAACTGAGGTTTGGTCTACACTATTTATTTTATGTACACTCACCTTCAATCCTATCAGCACGAAGATACACGTCATTCCCATAGCGGTGTCTGCTATTCGAAAATGTTCAATGTTTTCAACAAACTTAATCCACATTTCCAAACAGTTTTTGGCATGAAAAGAAATGCCGAACAATCCTTTCAATTGTGAGGAAGCCATGAGAAGAGCTGCGGCTGATACGAATCCACCAGTCACCGGCATCGATACGAATTCCACGACGAATCCTACACAGGAGAGAAGAAAGAACTGATTCAGACTTTATTAGCAAGTTAGAATCAAAGTTAGGTCGGACTAAATAACTTTCACACACTAGCATACTGTAGTATAGCTATTAGCTATTATCCATAGTCTGGAGATTATCATTTTGGAATTTATAGTCAAAAATATTAATCCCCAAACACTCAATAGTTTATATTATACTATCGCGTTAGGCTGTTTGGCAGACTTTAATGAGCGTTGAGAAACTAATTGAAAAAAATCCATCGACACTAGATTTTAAAGCAATGAAACGGCTACATGAAACTTTTCACTTTTACGAGTATACTGCTTCAACATTCAAAAGTAAGTAAAAACCAATCAGCTTAGATTCCAGGAAGATACTCTATCGGTATTATAATGTCAGATGCGCTGAAAAATAGATTTCTATGTAAGTATTATAATATTATTTATGTTATTTGTCTTGTATTAGACCATCGTTAAATCAATGTGGCATAGTATTTATTGCATATATTACAACCAGGGCTATGCACCCTAACGTAACCCGAAACCCAAATTAACCCAAATAAATATCATAACCCAAAACCCCGTATACATAACCGATTGAAAAAAAATTAACATCCAAAAAACACCAGAAATAACCCAAAACCCGAATTTCCATTCGGGTTTATCGGAAACCCGAATTATTAAAAATTATGTGGCATATCAATTTGTATGTATTTTTTGTAACTAAGAAGATAAGAAGATAGTAGTGTAAGTGTATAACGGATAACTCAATTTATTTTTTTGTAACCTTCAAAATAATAAATTAAATATTAAAAAAGACCTAGATGCTAGATGATTGTTTTATGTTATTTCACAATATTCAATAACAAACAATAGTAATTGTGTTGTCTAACATTCTTAATCAAAAATAAATATAACGAATATACGCTTAGTTAAAAATTAAAATATGTAATAAGCGAAACTATCTTCTGTAGAAAAAGGACTGAGTAAGTACTAATTAATAAACTAATAACTAATAACTAATAAGTATTTATATTTAAATTTATTTTTTTATTTTTTTCATTATGTTTACTTTAACTATAAAATCAGATTACTATATCAAATTTGCATTGAAAATCTCATGTTAATTGATATACAACATTTGTTTTTTAATACTCTAATTAACCCTAATAAATTTGCATTTAACCGTAACCAGAAAAGTGTATTAACCCGTAACACCAGAATTTAATAACCCGAATTTTCTTTAAACACCCTAAACCCGTAATCCGAAAAAATGATTCCGGTGCAAAGCCCTGATTACAACAGTTGTTTGTATAGCATTTTTATATAATTATTGTGGTTATTTGTATACAATTTTGTTTTTTTCTATGAATTGAGTTTTATTTTAATAATTTAGAGTTTATGCAGTCTACATTAATTCTACATGTCAAAATGTCAAACACTGTGTAATGAAATATTTTATAAGATTCCTCATGCAGAGTCGATACGAATAAAATGATTGTTCTATGTGGGTAATTGTATAGCTTTAAACTATGCGTCCTTATAATTTTATATACCCGATTAGGGCATTTAGAAAATTAGTTTAAATTACTACTGTATGAGTCGTATTTGATGTATACTATTGAAACGTAATCTCTAATAGGTTTTAAAACGAATTGCATTTATCCACATTTTCTTATTTCGCGATGACATAAATATGACGCCTAATCAAAGTTCAAACGATATTTAAACTGATAAAATAATAAATGACTTTTTTTGATGTTATAAATTATTATTGTTACTAACCACACCGTTAAATGGAATGGAAATAAATTTGGGTTTGATCGTGTTTCACTGATAACAAACTTGCTGTACCTAAGCGGAAAAGTCCACAGACGAGCTCGACAATCCCTGACACAAAACAGAGGATAACCGCCGTGGCTGGTAGTGCTGGATTGACGTAGTTGAAAGTGAGCAAAGCAACAACAGACGTAGGACCGATAGTAATTTGACGTACTGATCCAAATATTATGTACATCACGCTACCGAAGCAAGCAGCATACAATCCAAACTAACAAAAAATAAAACAATTCGTAGTCATCAACACAACGCAATATTAGGAAATATTTAGATAAAATAAAAAGCACTCCCCCCCCCCTCAAGTAGTTATCGATAAATGTAGGTATTTTTAGACGTTCTTTTGCCAAATTTTAAAACAGCTAAAATACGTTAACGAAGCAGTGAAAGTCAATTTTAATAATGTGTAGAGGTCGGAATAATATTCTCTGATTGCAAATTAATAGTAAAATTAATTACTAATTAATAACATAGGTAATTAATATATCATACGATATACTTTTAGTATTATGTAGACTGGTAGACTGTCTTCATTTAGAATCGTTTGCTGTATTCAATGATTTATCATTAAATTCAAATTTCACAAATAAATAACAGTGACTGACTCAATGCCGAAGTAATCTCTTCAGTCCACACCTACTTTACAGTAGAGTGGTGTACCTATTCAATGGTTCTACAAAAAATTAAAATAGATGTAAATATAACATTTGTTTAGTAATGTTTTTATAAGTTATTATTCAGAAAGTTATTACAAATTGTAAAATTCTAATTTATTAATATAGTTACCCTACTATAATTTTTATATTTATTTAAAAAAGCAAAGAGCCAACAATAAATATTATTCTCCCAGTTCTATCGAATTCTTATCTAACTTTTTTCTTAAATATAAATTAATTAATATTACATAATACTATTATTTATTATGACATGTGCATTATAAGCATTTATAATATTATCCTTGGGGGACGAGGTGGCAGAGCGGTCTAAGGCGTCGGTTGCGGCGTAGCCGTCGCCGGTTCGATTCTCAGCCACTGGGCGGCATTTTTTTCCGGGCAAATCATGGTGTCCGGAGAACAAGTGCCGCCATCCCCCACCCGGGGCATGGCAGAAACCTAAGGGGGCCCCACTAGAAATTCTGCCACAACACACACACGTGTACCAAACCTATGCAATACAAAAACTCATAGTTCCACCCCCACCCAATTGCCTATGTTGCCGCGGGTGATCTAATAAAAAAAATAATACCTTGGTAGAAAATGTCTAATAACTGGGAGTCTACTCGTTCGAATTATAATTTAGATACATCATTATTAAAAAAAAAAAATAATCTGTTCAATAATTAAAAGTAAAAAAGCCGGTAAGTGGATGTCGCTCTGCCGTACAATAAGTCACAAGTGGGTCACTGTAATGGATGGTTAATATCATTGTATACAGAAAAACGATTCTGAGCGAAAACTATCTGTCAGCCTATAGTATTACTAATTATATATATTTTATGATACCATTTTGATTAAAGTAATTAATTTTAGTATTAGGCATTAGTATATCTACTACAGTAGGTTAAATTAATTTTACAAAATTACATTTGAAAATGTCATTATGTGTATAAAATATAATAATATACTCTAAAAGTTTCATATATTCACGAATAATGTTACAACATATTATTACAATAATATTACAACAAAATAACTAAAATCGTTATTATATGTATTAATGTGGAATTTCGTCCAAATTTGAATTTAAAATGCCCATAAAAAATAACTGTGTTTATATATTTTTAGATTTTTTGGTTACAGTATGACCTATTTATGAGAATTTGTTTTTAATTTTCAATCCTTAATTAAAAAATCTTAGATTTAAAAAGAAAATTTTTTATGAATTTCTAACTCAAAACAATTTGCAAATTTTCGTGATTTTTACGTAGGTATTTTGTCAAAATTTGAATTTTTGCTTATAAAAAAAAATTGTGACTGTATTTTTAATATTTTTTAACTCTCATTATAACAATATATTAGAAGTCTTGAATAAAATTTTGAAGCTTTTTGACCCAACAAATAACATTTTATTGATATTTATAAAAAAAAAAAAACTTAGAAAAATTGGAAAATGTAAATGTCCGTTAACCTGCTTTAAGCAAGTCAATATATTTTGTAAGTTTTATGGTGTATAGAATATGCTAATATAAGCATTTAGTGAAAATGTCATGTATTAGTTACACAAAAAACCAAAAACGATTTTGTCACAAATAGTGTTGCGTAAAAATTCCCGTTTTTAATTAATTTTTTTTTTTTTTTCCCGGTCCTTGAAACTACTGGGAAGTTTTTTCTTTTGACCCCCCAAACTACTAACTAGATTCACTTTCCTACAGAAAAGGTGCTCTTATAACATTTTAAAAATCAGTTTTTTGATAACTGGGTAAATAAGAGAGGTGAACACGGATGGCGAATCACCCTGCACCTGTGTACACGATGAGTGCACTTACAAGTGGATCCAGTCCCGCCAGCGACGCGTAGGCTATAGATTGAGGCATCAGCGTGAGCGCCACAGTGATACCCGACACGGCGTCGTACAGCAAATCCGACTTCTTGTACTTTGGCATCCATGTCAGTATGGGCAAATAGCCGATCAATATCCGGTGTAGACGGTCGCCACAACTTCCGGTGTGCACCATGATGGCGTGTTATATCCTCGGTGCGGTGATGCACTGCTTATTACCACGCATCAATGCAATAATTGTTCGCTGGACGATCGAGCTGGTCGTGAAGTGTAACAGCACCCAAATCTCCGGGTATACACTGTTGATAAGTGGTTATTGCGTATAACAGTCGACTGTAAGAGATAATATAAAAATAATAATAAATTAGAACAATATTTCTGCAGTGTACGATAATAGAGAAGGTAGTCCGATGTTTAAGCGCACGTGTGTGTCAGTTATATAATATATAATTATATAATTATAGAGGTATAAAGCCCGTTTTATGGGGGGCAGCGGGGGGCATGGTTCTGGACCCAACAACGGATATCGAATAATATAGTGGGCTTCTGGCGGGAAGTACGTTTATTATAATATAATATGGATAGTGAATATATTACTACTATTTGGCCCCGGGCCCAAAATTATCATAACCCGGGATTGATACCTATATCAATCTACACATTTCAAGTATATTTGTATTAATATTTGATATTCAAAACCACTTTGACTTCAAAATATCCTTAAAATAGTAACCCAACTTTTTTTGACTTAGCATGATAAAATTAAAATATTAAATAGATTAAAAAAATGTAATGCCATTATTGAACTTAACACTGAATGTGTGGTGTTCATGAAATCATTATATTATATAGGTTAGAAAATAAGATATTATAATTACCATGCAGTATGGGTTAATGCGTTTATAATAAATAGCATTTAAAAAAAATTGTCCACGCATATGCGCAGCGAAACGAAATTGTTCTGATTTACCGTTACCGATTACCGTAACCAATACTATTCCCTTCTTTATCAAAATATAACGGATGTATTTAGACATTTAATAATATAATATAATTAAGAATATATTTTAAGTCAAATACTTTTTGTAAAAAAAAATTAAAAATGTATAAGATGTCCCGTTATTAATTATTGTTCTTCATAATATATACCTACCCAAATGCACAGTACAATGTGTTTAGTCTATATTATATTTACTAACTAGGTTTGTACAGCGTTTTGCATAATACATAATTGTAACTTTAGTCACACTTTTTCAACAGAAAAAAACTTTTCCTAAAACACTATAATTACAATTATTTAAATTTAATCTCGAACACTTAGTGATGTGGCACTAACGGCATAGTTTTCGTACCTACAATTTTTATTTTTGGCATGGCCCACTGTGCTATGTGTGATTATTACATATATATTACATTCAATTTTCGTTGATACCATAGACGAACAGACGTATGATGAGTTTATAGTTTACGAACAAAATAATTATAATTTGTACTCGGGTTCATTTAGTTTCTTCGACAACAGGTCGTACACAATTTAACCCATTCATATCATATACCAATCCCGTAATCTCTTTCAAAATTATTGTTATTATGATTAAATTAATAATGACATAAACGTCACATTAACTAACGTTATTAATTTATTCCTATACGTATAACCATTTACCAATTAACCGAACTTCGCATAATATACAATACGACATTGTTCATTTTTTTCTTCAGAATAACCGTGACTCATACGATACACTATACACTATTACACTCTAATTCGAAATTTGAATTACTTACTACTGATTTGTTTTATTAAAATGAACATTGTATTATATAATTCGGCAGTTTAAAATTCTAATCTCATTTTGTAAGAAGCCTAAAATCTAGCAACATTCACTTAAGATATTACAATTTAACGAAACAATAATAATCAACATGTATTGGTATAATTCTAGTTTTCAATACTGGCTTTATTCGTAACGAAACTGGTTTTTCGTAATTATAAGATTTACCATATTTTGTTATATTTTATTTACTTAAAATAAAAATAAATTCATGAAAACATTTAAAATAAATAGTTTTAATTAATATACTGAAATAGGTACTGGACATGTTAAAATTAAATGATATATAATTCAAAAAGAAAACAACAGAACTACCTAATGATTTATAAATCATAATAACAATTTGAATTGAAATATTTTGACAAAAAACCGCATGATAAATATTTGAAATTCCTGACATCTGCTGAGAGGCATTAAGAGGATTTCAGCTACTCACTATTTGTTCCTAAGTCTGTAGGTAGTTTTTGAGTATACAAGTTACAAACATACATTACCTAATTTATAAATATCTATTATACATATACACCGGCCCGATTAACCAATGACAATCAAGTAATAAATACTAATTTCTACTAATTATTTCTCATATAACCAATAGCAACTATTTATAAACAAAAATGTCCACCATATATCTCAAAATCCTACTAAAATCGTGATTACAAAATTGGGGATGGGGGTAGATGGGTAAAAAATACTTTACGACCTGTTCTCATACCTACCAAATATACAAATAAGAATAAATTAATGTCATTTAAATCGGTCTAGCCGGGTTGGAGGAGTGCTACAACAAACACCGTGCCACGAGATCATTATATATTAGATGTTATAAAAGTCTCTTTTTTCGTGTAACCAATGGTAATCCTATTGGTACATAAACATAAAAATATTAGAGTATAGGAGTTGAAAAATGAATTTATAAACATTTCCCGGGTCTTAAGAATTATATATTATATGTGCAAAATGTGATACCATTATATTCAGTAGTTTCCAAATCTATATAAGCCTTATCCGAACGTGCATCCATTTTTAATTTAATATGATATAAGTATATAATATTATTATGTGGCTTTGTTACTCAAATATAGTGACGATTTCTATCAGTAAAATAATTTTTTGAAACGGTTCATTAGATACTGAGATTTCAGATTATCCTTAACATGCAAACAATTTTTACCTTTTTAGAATGTTATTCTATAGATTATTTTACATTTTATAGACATTTAGTGATGACCACTTTTTAATATTTAAAATTTGACTGCAGCAGTTGAACTCCAGTCTATTGTCATATACGCACGCAAAGAATAAGAAACACTTCACAATATAAATATTCGTTAAAAGCTAAAAAAAAAAAAAAAAAATTATAATAATCGCTTTAACGTGGAACACCACACGGTATAGTACAGTGGCTCTTTATCGACTAAAACATTACCTAGTGAATTTTTTTTCATAATGTAAATGAATATCAGTTTGTTATAGTCAGCAATTATACCTACTTATAATAGTCGTCGATCAATAAATTAAGTTGTATGGACTTAAATTATTATTAATTAGGAAATGTGATGAGATAAGCTAAAACAATCGAAACACAAGTTTAACGACGACGAACCAACGAATTTCATCATTGTATAGATGTATTCAAAAACACTACTAATATTGCTGAATGATAAAATAGCTTCTTAACTGTCTAACTATAATCACGTGTTCCTGCAGACTATTACACCAATTATTACAGTAGGTAACTATATAGGACATGAATATAGGTTTGTTCTTTAATATTTATAATCAGCCCTCTCCTTTTGCTACTACCTTAATCCTATTTTAATTTTAATTAGTAAATATTATAAGAGTTGTGAAATATAACAAAAATAAAACTGAAGTCTAAGTTTTGACAGTCTTGGCTGGACGATGTGAAAACAAGTTTTTTTGCATAAATATTTTGTTGTGCCATAATAAATTCCCAACGCCGTTGTACTATTTTTCAAAACCTAAGGGTTTAGTAAGGTTAGTAACCTAAGGGTACATTTTTAAGTTTTTTGTCCAAACGAATAATTTTCTATCCCCATATATATAAAAAAACTAAAATAAAATAAATATAAGACAATCTACTCAAATACGGTCTACATTTTTGGGAACCAAACAATTGTTTTAATAATAATATTTAAATCTTAACAAATTTTCTTATTTTAGATTCTGAGAGAAGCGTTATTTGTTTTATTATGATGTTTATTTTTATTTTTTTCTGTCATCACCTTTGCGTAAACTTTTTAGATTAGCATATTTTCTGGTAGGTAAGTGAATCTAGTTGGTACTTTGGGAGGTTGAATAAGTAAAAAAGTCCAGCCAGTGCCTCTAAAGATAATATTAGGCCTATAATAGCTTGACTCAAATTACATCTTACAATATTGTAATCTATTCAATATCTATTTGAAACACTAAAAATTGTTTTAATAACATTTTATTAGGTACGATGAATAGAATAACCTTTGTCGGGCAAATTTCGGCCTAGGATCTAATCTACACGGCTGAAGATATACAAACAAACATCGTTTGAAGCCTAGAACCTTCTAGGGAAAAAGATTCTAATCAAAACCACTAGATCGAATGAATATAATCCTAATAATTATTTATCTATAATATAGTAAAGAGTATTCATTACTTACCTAAAACCTGGGTGGTTTGCGTTTAGACGAATTTGTACAAATTGCAATGTGTTTGGGCGATCTTTTTAATATCATGTGATGCTTTTCGCAAGTATTTTATCATTCATACAATTTTGACAGACTTTGGACTGTCCACGAATTCCATGGGTAAAAGAGAAGATCTGTTTTTCAAGTGGTTAGATGATTCACTAAAAATATAATTTTCAATCGAAATACATCTTTTATATCGTTTTGTAGTAAAAATGTTTCAATAATAATCCATAATCTGTATACTATATTATACGCAATAAACTAATAACTAACTCTAACACAATATCGAGTTCACGTTTCCAATGTTCGAGAAAAACTGACATATGTGTGACATAATTATACTAAGTTTGGGTTGATACAATAATATAAGTACAATATAATATATATTATAACATTTTTTGATTTTTTATCATATTTTAAATTGTATCATACTCGCTCAAACACAGTATTAGGAACTCGCCCAAACACCTTGTTTTTATTAGGTGGGTAAAAAGCTAGTAATTCTCCCAAATGTATGACGCTCGCAATAACAACTGCAATGTTCTGTATACATAGACCATAGACCTATAAACTAATGGACAGCACATAGAGAGAGAAATCACTAGACGGGATTGTTGAGAGAGAATGAGATGGTTTGGGCCGTCACAGTG